ATGTATTCTACAGGAAGTGGTATTTTTTGCACTGAAAACTGTTAACTCAGATGACCAAAATCAACTCTGAAAAGTGGTGATGATGTAGCTCTAGGGCCTGCAAACACCAAACACTCAACCAAGAAGATCTAATTCCTTATGTAAAAATAAGCAAGCACTCTTTCTTTCTTTCCTTCCTTCCTTTCTCCACACAAGGTCTCTCTATCACATAGTTCTGGATGGCCTAGAATTCTCTATGTAGACCAGGCTGGCCTTGAGCCCAGAGATCTGCCCCTGTCTCCTGAGAGCCACCAGGCCTGGCATAAACAAGCACTTCAATCCTATTAGTATGCAAATTGCTCTCATTTTTAATAGGTGGCAACATTATATATATCACAGACATTTTGAAAATAAAATTCTCTGGCTTAATGTTTCACTTGTATACCTAGTCCACATACCTATATACTTGGAGTCCTGTAAAAATTTCTCAGGTAAAAGGGGTGGTGAACAGAAAAGCTGGAAGAAGTCCTGGTTTGGTCAAGTCTTCCATTCTAAATATTTACTTTCAAAGTATGCACAGAATCCTATTTTAACCTAGGAGTTTAGTTGGTAAAAAACAGGTACTGATTTTTACAGTACTAAAGAGGGATGGAAAAACAGTATCTGATTCCTTTTAAAACTCAAAAGATGCAGTAAGTACCTGAAGCAGTCTTAGTTGAGAGTTGCCCTCGAAGATGCTTTCTTCTTGGTGGAAAATCTTTCTGAGGTGCCGGGGTCCTGCACGTCACTTGTCAGACAGTGACAGTCTATCACTAGGTAAGCATCCTTGGGTCCCTCCTCCTCTGCTATTTTATTTTAAGACAGGGTTCTTCTATGAGTCCAAGCTAGTTGGCTTGAAACTTACAATCCTGCCTCAGTCTCCCAAGTTCTGGAATCACAGGCATCACGACTACAACTGACCATGGAATATCTTTTTTCTGGCTGGCCTAGAACTCACAGAGATCTGCCTGCCTCTGCTTCCTGAGTTCGGGGATTAAAAGTGAGTGCCATCACTCCTGGCTGGGGACATATTTTAAATCTTTATATAATCTAGTTTCTGACAACAGGTTAGATTTAGCTATTTTAAAAAGAATGACATGAATACAAAAGATGTGAACACAAAAGATGTGAACACAGAGGGAACATTGAGTTTTGAAATGAGAATGTCCAACAGCAACTCTCTCCACAAAATGAACACAGTACACGAAGATCCATTCTGGATGCGGACAGTATCATCATATTCCAGACCACAACACAGTCAAAACATGTACACCTCCTTATAACTGTCAGGTGAAGAACCCTAACTCCACCTGTAGGAAAGGCACTTCCACAATACCTGTACTATTCTAGCCACCACCAACCATAAATTCAGTCATTTTATGTCATTAAAAAGGAAACTGGGGCTGGGGAAATAAATGGCATGGCAGGTAAAAGTTCTTGCCACACAAACCTCAGGGCAAGTTCCAGCTTTTGAACCTACATAAAAAATGGGAGAGAACTGACCCCATAAAGTTGTTTTCTCACCTCCAAATATGTGCTGTAACACATCTATCTCCTGTATACACACTCACGCATGCACACACACACACAATACTAATATTAACAAAAAAAGAGGAAGCAATGTCACAAGTGAAACTGCCACAGGGTTGATCTGAAGATGCACCATGGCTTTAGTAAGTGTGAACAGTTCAAGGCTGAGAACCGCTAAGACAGGCAAGGACTGCCCGTTTGATTCCCTGCTGTATCCCCTATGCCAATACATGGTGCTTCACAAATGTTTGCTGCCTTTATGAATGACTGCACCAAGACACATGAGCCACCATGAACTAAAACACAGTGACCACTTCATGACAGCAAAGACCATAGAGCCTATCTATTCACGCTGCTAACAGACAGCTATGTGTTTCAGAAAGGCTAACATGTCAGATTTCCCAGCAAGATGCACGGCTGCAGAACAAAATGAGTTTGTCAACAAGATGCAAATGCGAGGCAACTCGTGCTTCTATTATAATGGGGCACAGCAGATGCTTTGGTTTCTTGTCCCGTGACTATGAAGACATTCACTCTGCAAATTTCATTTATTTGTACGCACATACATATAGGCCAGAAGTCAATGTTGGGTATCTTCCTCAACAGCTCTCCAGCTAATTTTCCGAGACAGGTTATCTCATTGAACCTTAAACTCACCAATTTGGCTACACTGTCTAGCCATCAAGGGTTCTAACCTGCTGAGCCATTTTGTCAGGCCCTCTACAATTATTATTATTTTCTTGAAGGCCTTCTATATTCCACAAACTAGCCATGGTGATGAATAAGGGTCCAAGATAAGCAAATCTGGGGCGGGGGTGCTAACCAGAAGGATCCTGGGGTACTGGTGTGAGCCAACTGGCTTCAGGTCCTTGTGACATCTTAGTATTCCAAGGCATCCTTAGCATTCCTGGGTCTGTCCCCAAAGGGGTCTAAGAAGCACCCTCTCTGGCTACTTGAGGTCCAGATGTAGTGTTTGCCTCTGTCTCCTGAAGGCTCTCCTAAGGCTCCATGTGTTTTTACCTATGGCCAAGAAAACAAATGGAAGCTCACACTGCTGGGAGGAAAATGATACAAGCCATGGAATTCAGAAACAAAGTTATCTGTACACAGCTGAGGCAGGACTACAAGGAGTTCAAGGTTACTCTCAGTTACAAAGCTAATGACCAACCCTGGCTACAGGAAATCCTATCTCAAAACAAATAGCACCCCCCCATGTATCTAAGACTACATATTTTATAAAGGAACACATGTTTTATAACTCTAGAGGTAACCGGGAGGCGGAGAGATACTAAAGGGAGATTTCTCAGAAATGATGCTGCCAGGGGAGAAGGGGTGGAGTTCTTTGCAAAACAATTCAGAAATGCAAAAGCTGGAGGTGTCCTCAGCCTCCAAGGGTTTTATTGATTACTAAGGACTTAGAACAGCAGGTGAGGACACCAGGACTGACAGACTGTGACCTTCAAGTAGGCACTTTAGGGAAGTAACCTGGGCTAGTTTGTGGAGGGAGGACAGATTAAAGAGGCACAATAGAAGCCTGGTTTGGTGGCGCCTGCCTTTAATCCCAGCATTTAAGAGGGTTCCCAGCACACAGATCTCTGGGAGTTCAAAGCCAGCCTGGTTTCCAGGACAGCCAGGGCTGACACACAGAGAGACTGTCTTAAAGAACAAAAACAAGCAAAAGGCACAATGGAGTGAAGGAGACCAGTTAGGGAACAGGCAGGACAGACATCTGGGTAAGGTAAGCGCTGGTTAAGCAGGATATTGAGTAGGCAGGACAAAGGGACAATGTGTGTGGGTGGATGTGGAGGATGAAGAGAACCCATGGCAACCTGGTGTGTCTGTGTGGGGGGAAAATAAGGGAGTATGAGCCATAGGGGAGGAGCAGCAGCAGAGAATAGGTATTTTGGGGGAGCAGGAGTCAATCCCATTTTTGACACTAAGGCACTCATGGGACTGCCAGGTGAAGGATCAGGATAGTAGCACTAATCTGAGGGGAGGGTAGCTAAAGCACACCTGGGTTACCAAGTTAGATTTAGGAATTACCAGCACATGCTTATAGGAAACTTATAAACATGGGAGAAAACTGAATTCCTGGGGGCAATCCTTAACAAAAGGGATTGCAGCTGCCAGGTCTATCTGAGTGACCTCTGAATTCCGGGGTGGAAGAGAAACAGTTTTCAAAACCTAACTTCCAAACGTGCACACACGTAATAATTAAAAAAAAACCATTTATTTTAGTTTTTAGTCCTCTATCAGGCTTCTCACCAAAGTTTCTCTTTCTTTTTTTGGGGACAAGATCTTGCTTTTCCTGTGGCCCTGGCTGCCTTCAGTCTCCCAAGTGCTGGAATTAATGGTGTAAGCTATCACATAGGGGAAGAGTTCAATTAAAAAAACTTTTCGAGATTTATTTTAGGCATACGAGTGTTTTGCCTTCCTCTATGTATGTGCACCACGTGCATGCCTGGTGTCAGGCGAAGTCAGAAGGGGGAGAGTACTCTTCAGGAACTGGTTATAAGCTGCCATGTAGGTACTGGAACTCAAACCCGCTGAGCCATTTTTCAATTTTAGGCAAATTTAGCAACACGTAGTTTAAACTTTAGTCAACTGGCTACAACCTGAAACCTCCACAGCACGCTGCGGTCAGTCTAGATCTAAGTGTTCACTCAAGAGTTACAAAACCTACTCAGGATCATTTAAGGAAAATCTTGCAATGCGCTCCTCGGCAGTTAAAATCCGAGAAAGCCAGTGATCTGGCCACACTGCCTCCAGGCTCAACTTCATTTGGACACGCCCTGCGCGCCAACTTCTGATTTCTCTAGCCCAGGGCATCCTTAGCTCTTTCCTGCGTCGGCCTGGGCAGATTTCCTCCTGTCAAAAATCTCACAGAACACAGGAGGCTTCGTTTAGAGAGACTTCCTCTTGTACTTTTCCACACCTACTAGCATACATTCCCGCATTCACACATGCCCTACTGCCTCGGGTCCTGCCAGAGTTCCTCCGGGGCTGGAATGCAGCCTCAACTCTCTCCCGCACACCAGCGCCTGCAGGCACTATTCAAGAGAAGGAAACGAGAAACACAAACGGGCCTCGGCGAGCCGGGCCAGGGCTGAGCGTGGAGCTGAAGCTCCGCCGCACAGCCCGCAGCAGCCGCTCCCGCACTCACAAGAGCGACCCTCGCCGAGCGCAGCGACGCGGACCCCGGCCCGCACCTGTGTCGCTCTGCGTCCTCGCGCTGAGATACTGCCGCAGCTTCCTCACTGCGCGGTCGCGGACACCCTTCTCGCTGGAGGCCAGCCGCTGGGCGAACTGGAGCTCGGCGGACTGCATGGCGGGAGCCATCGCGCCAGCTCCTGCATCCCCGGGCTGCGCGCGTGCAGCTCGCCACCCAGCAGCCTGTATTGCGCCTGCGCACGGGCAGCGGCGCGCGGGTGATGGCGTCACAGACGCGCCGCCGTATCGCGCCTGGGGAGCCCGCGTGGCCGTGGCGCAAGTAGAAACTGCGGTCGCGCATCCTAAGTACGTCGTGTGGGTGGTCCAAGTCAGGGTGGTTGGCGTAAAGATTAGTTGGGGTCAGATCTCCTTCAGGAAGATGCCTACGGCTGGTTTTGACGCAGTCTAGAGTCTAAGCACAGCTAACAAAGCTCTGTCGGGGGATGACACTCCAGCGACCTCCACATACGCTGTCTGCAGAACTCGGCGGGCTTTCCTGGGCAGAATTGAGACCCAGAAGGAAGACAGTCATCCGGGCAGCCCGGGCCTGACGACAGTACAGCACCTGTGCTCCCCCGCCTCCACTTCCCCCAGTGTAACGTAGTGCCTAGAGTCTGATGCAGGCGCAGCGTTCTAGAGTGAACGATCCGCCCCCATCAATATCCGGCGACAGGTGCAGAGGTGACGAGCAGACATTTTGCAGTATTCTAGGGCAGGCTCGAGGAGGGAAAATCCATCCCTGCAGCACCAAGGGCACGTCCAGGGGTGTGGTGTGGAGAGAGCGATCCATCCCTGGGACAGAGTCAGGGGTGTCTTGGGACAGGTGTAGGCTTGTTGAATGTGGAGTTAGCACATGACCCGTACCCACAGCCTCTGGGTCAGGTGAAGGGATGTCCCTCCACATTAGAGGGAGATGACCTGTCCTGGCGGCATGCAGGGGAAGATTTTGGTATCTAACTGGGAGGGAACTTGGCCCTGTTCTTAAGTCCTGCGTGCAAAACACACAGTTCTGAGCCGTGGTGTCTTAGGGCTTCTACTGCTACGTGAAGCAAAACGTAAGTCCTGACCAAAAAGCAAGTTAGGGAGTAAAGGGTTGATCTGGCTTACACTTCCATATCACTGTTCATCATGGAAGGAAGTTAGCACAGGAACTTAAGCAGGGCAGGAACCTGGAGGCAGGAGCTAATGCAGAGGCCATGAGGGAGCTGCTTACTGACTCGCTCTTCATGGCTTGCTCAACCTGCTTTCTTATAGCACACTGGACCACAAACCCTTGGATGGCAACACCCACCATAAGTATCAACCACTAATTAAAAAAATGCCTTATAGCCAGGTGGTGGCAGAGGCAGGCAGGTTTCTGTCAGAGGGATCTGTGAGTTCAAGGCCAACCTAGTCTACAGACCGAGGATAAAAAGCCAGGGCTACACAGAGAAACTCAGTTTTGAAAATAAGCATCCCACCCCCACCTTATATGCCTGCCTACAACCTGATCTTATGGAGACGTTTTCTTAATTTCTTTTTTATTATTTTTATTTTTAATTTATTTTGGATTTTCGAGACAGGGTTTCTCTGTGTGGCCCTGGAACTCGTTCTTTAGACCAGGCTGGCTTCGAACCTGGAAGTCCACCTGCATCTGCCTCCCAAGTGCTGTGTGATTAAATGCGACCGCCCCGTAGAGATATTTTCTTTATTGAGGTTTCCTCCTCTCAGATGACTTTAGCTTGTGTCAAGCTGACATAAAGCCACCCGGCACCAGCACAAGTGGGGACATACTAATCCCCACAAGAAAGAAGTCGTCCCTACTGCCCCTCCCCCAGGGTTTCATTGCGGCTTTGGAGCCTATCCTGAAACTAGCTCTGTAGACCAGGCTGGTCTTGAACTCACAGAGATCCACCTGCCTCTGCCTTCCGAGTGCTGGGATTAAAGGCATGCACCACTATTGCTGGCTTAGAAGTCTCTTTTTTAAATTAATTTTTTCCATTTATTTTACATATCCATACCCACCACAGTTTCCCCTCCCTCCTCTCCTCCAGTTCCCTCCCCCCACCTCCCTTCTATTCCCCCCTCCATTCCCTCTCCCCTCCCTTCTGTCCCCCCCTCCATTCCTCCATCTCTATTCAAGAAAAAAAAAAGTCTTAACAGCTGTGCTAACTTTAGGGACATCAAAACCCTAGGTCATCAAACACATTCTGTAGATTCATTAGCACCTTAAGGGAATTATGGAATTATTAGATTAGGTAGATTAGGATATTCTTTCGAACTTTGGTTATTGAGTCGTCCCCTGTCGTCCCCGTCCCGGTGGGGGGGGACCCCCCCGCAATGTAGCACAGGTTAGACTCTCCCTTGCTTTGTAGCCTTTGTAGCAAGGCTGGTCTTGAACTTCCTCTACCACCCAAGTGCTGGGACTACAGGTGTGTACCACTACATCCCGCTTCAGTCTTTGGTTATTTTGTACCTCAGCTACCTGGCCAAAATAATTCTTCAGTGAATACAAAAATACATCTTTCAACACAGAAGTGCTTTGGGCCAAGGGGCTGTTCTTTTGGCAGCTGCACTGTTTCTTACCAAGAAGGTGTGGATTTGGCTGTAGCATCCTCTCCCTGAACGGAAAAGGACGGACTCTGTATATTTTGACACCCAGGCCTCATTTTGCAGGTGTCAAATTTGAACCACGACGGAAGCGGAAGAGCTTCAATAGAGTCGGGTCAACCTTATCCCTGAACCCGGAGACCGGAAACCAAGAAAGCGGCGAACTTGGCGAGATTTGAACCTCGCGGCTTTCCGTCTGGTCCCGGCATCTCTTCGTTCCCGCGCTTTCTAGCGTGTCCGAGAGCTTCACGCAGGCGCAAGAGCAGAGGCCTTGACCATGGCCACAAGTGGGGGCGAGGCGTCCGATATTGATGAAGCCTGCCGGGTCAGTGGGATGGTTCTGGGTCCGGCACGTGGGAGCTGCTGACACTTGCTCCCCTCAGGGCCGGGCCCTGTGGCAGTGAGGCGGCCCAGGCCAGGCGGCGCCACTTGAGGCGCGCTTCCTGAGCCCTCTGAAGGCCTAAAGTCTAGTTAAGAAGCGGCGGTCTGGGTCTCAGGCCGTGAGTTTTTGGGAGAGCCAGGGCTGTGTACTTAGTTATGGGGCCCTGCCCTTGGTGACTCAGCGAAGAGAGGGAAGAGAGGGCCACAGCGACGCTTCTCCTGTGTGACGGCCTTGGGTGGTGGCGGTGAATGTTAGGGGTCACAGAGACCGCGTGCAGCCCGCAGGGATGCCATCCCCGGGGCGGCTTAGCCTTGGGCACATACATTGCAGGCGTTTTCTTTAGCTTTTAGGCTCGTGTACGCGGTTTTTCCCCCTCCAGTATTTACACTTGCTCTTCCACTATGTTCTTACTGAAACAGAGTTGATATGCTTGCCGCTCAGGGCTGGCTGCGAACACTTGGGTGAAGTCATCTTTCAGCCCCAGTTTCTTGAAAAACTGGGAATATAGGTGTACATCACCACCCTTGTCTCTTTGTATATAAAACCCGTGTGTACACACACATACACATCTATATCCCCACCCCTATATCCAGACCATGTAATAGAAGGTGCATCAAGTGCCGTGGATGGTGGAATAGGCATGTAACCCCATTACTGAGGAGGCAGAGTCAAGCACATTGTTTCAAAGTTAAGGCCAGCATAGTCTACAAAATTCCAGAACAGACAGCTATATGTAATGAGCCCCCCCCCCCCAAATGAACATGTGCACATACACAAAAGTACATATGTAGACATGCTTGTGAGGTAATTAGGTAAGAGGCTTGAAAGAAAAGGAAGCAAATCGCCTTGGGTGCCTGTTCTGGTCACCTGAAGAGAGATATTGTAATGTTAAGATGTATTTGTTCTTTTAGTGCCTAGAACCCAAAGAAGAATTTGTGAAAGTTAGAAGGAAGGACCTGGAACAGCTGACGACTGAAGTGATGCAAATGCGGGACTTCTTACCCAGACTACTAAACGCGGAATTAACCGAAAGTTTGCAGAGCTTGAAGAGTGTAGAAAAAAGTGAGTCTTACCTCATGTATGTTGCTTGTCTTTATGTGGGCAAGGGAGCCAGTTTCCGAGGCTAAGCTAAGTTCAGATCGCTAGGACTTGTCCATTCAGACTTTTGGCGTTTGAGCAGTATATCAAATACGAGTCCAGGACCCTGTTAAATTTCTCGGAGGTATTTAGAGATCGAGTCAGCACGTTCCCGACTGGGTCTAAATTGCAATTAAATCTGTCTTTGGTGGTCATAGCTAATTTGCCACATCACATTTGGTAACTTGATCAAATTTTTTAGACTACAGATGTTTGCTTGTGTTCCTGACCTTCCCTGGGCTGTTGGTCACTTTCCCATCTGTCTCTGGTGATGTCCTCTCGGTCTCCTTTGTCCATTTACCTTTCTCGAGAGCCTTTAGACAGAGCAGGCACTTGAGGCTCAGCCTCGCCCGCTTTCACTGTAGCTTCCAAGGCAGTGTGATGCTCACACATAGCTTTAGTTACCATTGGATGCTGGTGACTGCTGGGTGCATCTGTGTCTCCAGTGTCTGTCTTGCCCCAGCTTGGCATCTTTTCCCACTTGTTCTGTTACCATTCAGACTCTGAATGTCTGTCCTGACCTAGTCAGGAACAGATCTGAACTTGACAAGATACACATGACCATATGGCAGAGGAATTGGGAGGCCCCTATCAGGCCTTGGGGGCAGAGTTGGAATTTGGTGGTTTGGAAATGAAGCAGTGTTTTTTGTTAGAGATGGCTTCGCTGTATATCCTGGGCTAACCTTGAATTCTCTTTGGAGCCCAGGCTGGCCTCAAACTGTAGATATTCTTGTCTCTGTCTAAGTGTTCAATGTTTTGATAGCTCATGGCAAGGTGGAACTGTGTGTAAAGAGCCAACTAGAGTTTGAGTGTGAAGTGGACCCAGGTCTTGTTTGCCTGTAAACAATGAAGTTTCAAATAAATGTAAAACACTGTTTATCCATACCTTACCCACACTTCTGAGGCTAGTGGGGAGTTAGACTGTTTCTGTGTGTCATGGTAACTCTTCAGGGCAGATCATGTTTTTTTCTTTCTGAAGTGGGGGAGTTTTCAACATAAATTTGGTGAATAAGAAGTGAGCAGTCACATCAAGAAAGGAGCACTGTGACACTTTCCAGTTAATGGGGGAGACACTTTTCTGTTTACTTGGCAACTGGCTCTGTCTGTGCCCGCTGTTCTCGTCTGACAAATGGCAGGCCATATTTTCACTTAACAATCTCTACTTTCTTCTGTCTGACATATGTTTCCCTTGTGTTTTTTCTCACTGGCCTGCCTTGGTCTCCTCAGAGAACAGCCTTAGATCAGACCCCTTGGAGTTCTCCCTCTCTCCCGCCAGTTCTGTGCGTTCTTCCTTGGAGATGTGCTGTGGCTATATTAGGCTGTCTCCATCCCTACTGCTTGCGTGGGATCCTTGTACTTTGCCTCCTCTAGGCAGTGTCTACTATTCCCAGTGTGGGTAATTTTGGTCTGATTTTATCCCTCTACTCCTCAGGTTAAGCTTTTAAAATAGCTGCTCCTTGTCCTTAGGATAAAGACCAACTAGCAAACTGCTGCTACCCTGGGACCTAAACAGATCTTACAATAGCTGTGAAGCCTTTGTATTGCTGGGTAAGCCTCATCCAGAGTGGCTATGTGCTCTGAATGCCCAGATATGAGCTCTATGTTAGGCATGGTCCCTGTGCTTTTCCTCCTGGGAGGTCACTATAAAATTTTATTTTAGGCTTACCCTGACTACCTTGCTTTTCTGACTGAGGTGCGGTTGATGAGATGGCCTTCTAGAACACCCTTTACCTACTTTTATCTCTTGAATTCTCTTTTCTTTCCTCCCTCCCTCCTTCCCTCCCTTATTTCTTTTTTTGAGACAGAGTTTCACTTGGGGTAGCCCTGGCTGGCCTGGGATTCTCTATGTAGTTCAGGCTGGTCTTTCACTCACAGAGATCCACCTGCCTTCCTGAGTGCCTGAGTTGAGATGAATATCAGATAGTATGAGGAACCTGGTTCTGAGTTGTCGGGACAGTTGCCTTTGAGAGCTGGGTAGGTAAGTAGTGGTTTGAAAAGATACTGATGAGTGTCTTGCCTAAGCATCTTTGAAGAGTCAACACTGAAGAAAAGGCAGTTTCTTTTTTAAAAAAAAATTATGGCCGGGCAGTGGTGGCGCACGCCTTTAATCCCAGCACTGTGAGTTTGAGGCCAGCCTGGTCTACAAGAGCTAGTTCCAGAACAGGCACCAGAGAAACCTTGTCTCGAAAAAAACCAAATAAATAAATAAATAAATAGTGAATTTATGTATATGAGTTTTTTGCCTGCATGCATGTATAACGTATGTGCCATGCCTGAGGAACTTAGAAGAGGATGTCAGATCCTCTGTTACTGGAGTTACAGACAGTTGTGAATTGCCATAAGGGTATTGGGAATTGAACCCAGATCCTTTGAAAGAGCAGCTAGTGTTCTTAACCTCTGAGTCAACTTTCTCTCTCTCGCAAAGCACAGGTTCTTTTCTTTAGAAGGGAAAAAAGATGTGTGAAAGTCACAAATGGGAATAAAAATCAGTTGTGACTTAGCAGCTGGTTTTCTGCCTTTGAAGGACTTGAGTATAACAGAAGTAAAGATGGTAAATGTGGAGTATTTATAGAGGATGGGTGGGGGTGAGAGGCACTTGGAGCTTCTAAATGGACCGATATCAAGATGTTGATCACGTGATGCTTTTGGAGAGAATGGTTTGAATTAGAGTATCAGATGAGTTTGAAGGGTTGGCTGGGTGGAGGGATGAACTGAGAGTGTTCTTCGAGGCGAGTCCCAGGTTCCATTGTACTCTGTGTGGATGGGATAGGAGGAGCATGAGAAAACAGGGTGGACTCTGGTGATGAAGTGAAGGCAGAGCCTTCTGAGTTAGGATCAGGACTGATGGCAATGAGGAGGGCAGGACATCTGTGTCCTGCATGCTGACTAGCACTTCATTGTGTGTCCTGGGACTATGAGGACACACTAAGGACAACTAAGGACAATAGAGCACTTGCCTGGTTACATACAGGGTTCGGAGTAAGATCCCTAGGACTATGCTACCCACCCCTGAAAGTCTCTTAGGACAGTACTTCTCAACCTCCCTAATGCTGCGACCCTTTAATACAGTTCCTCATGTGATGATCCCCAACCATAAAGTTATTTTCAGCGCTACTTCATAACTGTATTTTTTCTACTGCTGTGAGTCATAATGTAAATATCTGTGTTTTCTGATGGTCTTAGGTGACCCCTATGAAAGGATTGTTTAACCCCCAAAGGGGTTGTAATCCACAGGTTGAGACCTGCTGTCCTAGCATGTGGCAAATTTGAGATGACTTAATCCTTCTGAAGGGCTTGTATGATACCTGCATTGTAGGAATCTTGAAACTCCTTGAGCTCCTGGTGTAATGGAGAATGCATTCTGGCAGATGCTCAGTCCAGCAGCTTCAGTTGTGACTAAGGCACTATCACATGGTGAACTTGGAATAGCCTTGACTTGGGGTTTGCCAAATTGGAAAGCACATAAATATAAAATACTCCCATGAAAGCATTATCAGCACTCTTGAGTATCGAGCATTGGAGGAACATTCTTTTTGTTTTTGTTTTGTTTTGTTTTTTTGAGACAGAGTTCCTTTGTAGTCTTGGAGCCTGTCCTGGAACTAGCTCTTGTAGACCAGGTTGGCCTCGAACTCAGAGATCCGCCTGCCTCTGCCTCCCCAGCGCTGGGATTAAAGGCGTGCGCCACCACCGCCTGGCTTGGAGGAACATTCTTGCATAGAAAGTCCTGTGCTGCTGTTTATCATGTTGATCTCAACTGAGAGTGAGATAGGGAATGAGAACACTGTGGGACTTTCACTAACCACGTCAGATCATCCAGATAATAGGCCAGAGTCCGTGACTGCGATAGTCTATAGTTTTATGTCTGGTGCCCTCAGTTGTCTTTGGGTAGTACTGTAAAGGGTTGCCTGCTGGCACTTGGGTCCTGGACAGAACCAGCTTCAAGGAGCAGAGCCTTAGGAGGATAAGACGCTTGTTTGGCAGTTCTAGCAGGGGAGCTACTTATGTGTCCTTGACAGAAGAATGGTCCTTAATCAGGTAAGGTTGTCCTCTTCAACTGGATGTTCGGTTTAGGTTTAGGAAGGGATGCACATGAAATATTGAGGAAGGAGATTCCTGCCTAACAAGACAGACACCCCTTATGAAGAGCAGGGCAAAATGCCAAAGCCACATTGCCCTTACATCCAAGAGTCTATTGATTTGAAATGGGACAGATGATTGGGGTTTTTAAATACTACTAGAACAGCTTTTGAGTTTGGGCTCTCAGTTTGTGAGGGCCCTCTACTGGTTACTTGAAGGAATCCACAAGTACATGAGGTGGTTGTAATCCTAGGGAACAAGGATAATGAAAAGAAACATAAACAATGACAGTGTAAGGGGAAGTATGTCACAGGTGCCACATAACCACAGGCCACCAGACTTCCAAGGGGGATAGGGTGGGGCAAGTCAAAGGCTGCTTATGAAGGAGTGGACTTAGAAGACAGTTAAAGGCATCCTAGAAGTAGTTTATTAAAGAGGGATTGTACAGCATTTGGCCTGGTAGGCAAATGGATTTCAGTTTAGCTTGTTGGAAAATGCAGGTCAGGCTTGTGCAGTCGGCCCTCTCTTTAGCTGTGGATTGGCTAGACTAAAGCGGTGTTCAGCAGGCAAGTTACGTGGTGGAGCTTTTGTGGACTTCTGTATTCGTCTGTGAACCTGAGATATTTAACAGCTGCCCTTTGATTGGGAGTGACCCAGATCTGAGTCTTTGGTTTGGGAGCCCTTGAGCCACTGTAACTGCTTATTTCTGGGAACCTTGTAGGAAGCAGAATCAGTCATTCTGGGGATGGTCATTTGATCTGGGAAACCATGTGAGTAGGAATGCCTACAAAACGCTGACAATTGATGGGACCCTGGCAAGTTACAGAAGTATCTGTCAGGCGTTTCCCTGAAACACCTTCAAGTCCAGGCCCCAAATCCTCAGCCTGGGGCTTTGAAGAAAGGTTTTCACAGAGGTAAAATGAGGCCTGTTGGGCCCTAGTCCAATATGACATTCTTGTCAGGAGAATTTTGAACACAGTTGTGGAGTGAGGTCTGTGTGAAAATATAGGGAGGCCAGAAAGGGAAGACTGAAGAACAGGCGCTGTGGAGGTGGAGGAAGGGTCTGCAAAAGTGCTTCTCCCATCAGGGAATGCTGGGCAGAAAGAGGCAAGGAACAAGCAATCCTCCATGCCGAGGTTTCACAGGGAACTTGGCCCTGCCAAAACCTGGACTTTTGTCCTGGAAGTCCTCAGCCTTGGGAGACATAAATTTCAGCTGTTCTAAGCTACCCAGCTCATTCTTTGTTCCATGTGCTGGTGAGTACACCACCCACATCTCAGGTCAAAGTGAAGATGGAGCATGTCAGTGTTGCACCCGCTTTTTTTCTGAACCTCCCAGAGTGAAGGAAGGAAAAAAGTAATGGTTATTTAAAGTATTTTTGTTTTCAGACAGCTATTTCACATGAGTGGAAAGCAACTGACAACTTGTTATAAACATGCCGGGACCCCAGGGAAATCTTAACTCTTTTATCTATGCTCCAGAAACCCTGCTTTTCACTTTCAGCTCTCTTCCCTCTCTCCGAACAGTAATTCTCCTGTTACCAAAACGGTCGAAGTTAGGTCTTCATAGTACTGGCACTTGGGGCCTGACAATTGCATGCCATGGCGGTAGGTTGCCAGCAATGCTCCCATCTGGCCACAAGGCGGCGGCCTGACACAACTGATACCCCTGGTGTGCTATAGTCTTGTGAGCAATGGCTTAGATTTTCTGGGGTTCCATATTGTCACAAAGGCCTTGTTAAGCCTGTAGAAAGTTCACATAAAACTACACAGAGAGGACTTTACCACAACGAAAGCATTGAGTGGTTAAAATTAATTCCTATATATTTTTACGTGACAAGATTTGTAGAGATTTAATTACCCCTTCCTTTTGGGTGTGTTCAAGTAGTATAGTTCAATTATAGAAGCAGACTTTAAGAATTAGCTGCAAAGAGAAAAAAATCTAAACTATTGATAATTTATTTTTTAGTTTCTATCTAGTTATGTATTTTATAGTCATAGGTATGTATTTCATAGTTACATGAATGTATGTAGTCATATAATGTACATATGTGTAAGTATCATTCAGCATAGTTACATATTTAGTAATGTTATTTTTAAGGCATAAAGCTGGCTCACTGGTTTCTTGGAAGGTCTTGATTATTGGACAAAGTAGAGTTCATGTAGTGTGACATATCTGAAAAGTCAGAGAAGAAAGCTCTGACATAGGGAGAATAAATAACCCAGTGCAGCTTGCATGCTTCTAGGAAATATGAGTGGGAGCTTGCCAGCCAGTTTCACAATCTCCAACTTGTCTTTGACCTTTGGGTCCAGTCTTTCTTCTTGGACAAGGTCTCAAGGAAATGTAGACACTCTCCTTGTTCCTTTCTCCAGAACAGTTGGGATGACAAGCAGCTCTAGACAGTCCCTGGGTTTTTTTTGTGTAAGTGACCCCTTGCCTTCTCTGACCTCAGGAACACAAAGTCCTGCCCCTTCCTTTGCCTGCACTTCATTGAGCATGCTTGATGGTGGAGAATGTATGGTCTTCCATATGTTCTTACAGGTGTGCTCCATTACCTAGTCCTATTTCCCTCCATTCATACTCTGTCATTGCTGTAGATAAGCTTTCTGGCCCACTGTGTTCTTTTCCTATTGCTGGTAATGAGAGCTAAGACTGTTGACTTGAAGTAGTTGGTTTGAAAGTGCGATTTCCATAGAGTCTCACCCAGGAACCTTGTTAGAAATGTAACTTCTTTGGACTGTAGAGATGCTTTAGTGGTTGAGAGTATTTGCTGCTTTTGCAGAGAACTAGATGCCTGGTAGCCCACAACTGTTTGTAACACAGTTCCAGGGGATCTGACACCTTCTTCTGACCTCCATTGGCCTCAGACGTGCACATGGTACAGATACATACATATATACATACATACATACATACATACACACACACACACACATGCAGGCAAAACACACAGTTTAAGAAAAGATTTATTTACCTTTTATGTGAATATGCGAGTACCTGAATGTATGTATGTGTACCACATTCATGCTTGGTGCTTAGGCATCCAGAAGTGGGAGTCAGAGTTCCAGGCAGTTATAAGCTGCCATGTGGGTGCTTGAAACAAAAGTCAGCAAGAACAGCTAGTATTCTTAACCATTGAGCCATCTTTCCAGTTCCCACATATAATTTTTTTAAAAAATTTATCTATTATGTATATAATATACTGCCTGCACATATCCCCGTAGGCCAGGAGAGGGTACCAGATGTCATTACAGATGGTCATGGGCCACCATGTGGTTTCTGGAAATTGAACTCAGGACTTCTAGAAGAACAACCAGTGCTCTTAACCTCTGAGCCATTTCTCCATCCTCTCATATACAAATCTTAAAAAAAGAAATTCCAGCACTTGGGATGGGTGGAGAAGTAGAGGCAGGTGGATCTCTGTGAGTTCAAGGCCAACCTGGTATACAACAATTAGTTCCAGGACAGCTAGGGCTGTTACACAAAGAAACCCTGTCTCTCAAAAACAAAACAAAAACAAACAAAACAAAAATAAAACAAAATGTAAATTCTCTTTATCCCTAATGGCAGTTCCTGGCTGCAGGGGGAAGGGGAATAATTTTCTTCAGTAGTGTAGTCACTAGTGAGTTGCCCATGTTCCATGTTCATGCAATACCATTTAAACTCAGAAGATCACACACAAAAACACCCAAACAAAACAGCAGCTACAAAGACTTGAGAGCAGGCAGAGACTTCTTAACTCTAAGGCCGTCATCAGGAGTGGGATGGGCACGAGAATGGATAATGGGAGTGGAAATGAGCAAAATATATTACATACATTCATGAAATTATTAGTAGAAAAAAATTACTTTAAAGAAAAGAAATGTAAGTTCTGAGGCCCAGACACACCCACAGAACCACAAACTTATGTACTAGGTCCTGGAATCCTAGTGCGCATTAGGCTTTAGTTAGCCATTAACTCTTAGTACTTGTTCTCAGATCTTGGTACATGTTGGCAAAAAAAAAAAAAAAAAAAAGTTTAACTTCTCAGCCTTGAAACCAAACTCTTAAAAACCTGAATTAAGTGTTCAATTTTTTAAGCATCAGTATTTCTGCAGTATTTAAAGTTGATAATATTTTTCATTGATTTATTGATGTGGGTATCTTTGGTTTTTTTGTTGGCAATATGACTCATAAGCTAAAAGATTATGGTGGAGAGGAAGTGTTACGTAGTCACTGCCCCCACACTGTAGCGTTTTCTTGTCTTGTTCTCTGTGGCTTCCCACCTCCATTGACTACTACTGCAGTTGTTCCCATTGAGTCAGTCTGCCAGTTGGTGGGATTGCTTTGTGAGTCAGCTCCTGCTGGCACCAGCTACTCCTGAGATGCCTTCTGCTTTTTATGGCACAGATACACGTTTCTGCCATGAGATAGTCGGGCTTCTCAGCTCTGCCTTCAGTCCTTTAAATAACTCATTTTCTTGAAGCCTTGAGTACATGTCTGGCAGTAAATGAGGTCTTAAAATCACAAAGTAAGGTAGCAGCAGAATTTCTTTCAGGACTGGAAGCAGGTCAGTACCATAGTGTGCTTAGTGTACACAGGCGCAGGGTTCAGTGTCCAGCATCTATTCTCCTCGCTCCCCAAAATAAAAAGGAATTTCTAGTATGGCTTGAAAATGGAAGAGAGCTTAGAAACAGGGCTGTAGGAATGTTGACTGTGATTTGACATATCTTGAGTATTTTTCTGTCTCTTCTAGACCTGGAAAGGCGAGAACAAGAATTAGAACAGCTGAGATTGGACTATGAACACTTCAAAGCCCAGCTAGAAACTGTCCAGACAGACAGCAGGAGGGAGAAGAAGGTAGGCACTTAGGTGAGGCTCCTGCAGGGGCTCGGGCCAGAAGGTACCTGTTGTTGGTTTGCTGCCTTTTGCTCATAAGAAGCAACTAGTCTCACATTTTCTCTCTTAGCCCTCAGGAGGCTGGAGTTCCGAATATGCTTTTTAAGTAGGTTAGTAGGTAGGTGAACTGTTAATCAAGTTTATAAGCATTTAACATAGATTATTCAGTTCCTTTTAATGAAGCATTTTTTGTACATTTAGAGTGTGTCTATGCATAAGAGAGCATCTGCCTGGGCTTGTTTATGTGTATGTGTTCAGGCTTGTGTATGCTTCACTCTGTGTGGAGGTCAGAGGCAACTTGTGGGAGTTAGTTCTCTTCTCTCCGTGTGGGTTCTGGTTTGGCAGCAAGTGCCTTTACCCATTGAGCATCTCACTGATTTCCTTTTAATTTTGTATTTAAAAGTCTGCTTCAGCTGGACATGATGTCTCATGCCTTTAATCTCAGCACTTGGGAGGCAGAGGCAGGTGTATCTCTGCGTTTGAGGCCTGCCTGGTCTACATAGTTTGTTCCAGGGCAGCTAGGGCTACATAGGGAGACCCTGTCTTAAACAAAACAACCCAAAAGGTCTGCTTTAATGCATATGCTTATAACATAGTAAGAATCTTGGAGAAAATATTGTGTATATGATAATTTATAATTGGAGATAGATATGAAGTTGAAGTATTTCTAATTAGTTTGGGTATGATTTACCCAACTAACTATATTTTATTTACTATTGAAAGAGACTATATTTTTCTCACAGATTATTTTATTTTTTATGTACAAGTGTTTTGTCTGCATGTATATCTGCATAGCATGTGTGGGACGGAGGCTGGAAGAAGGTGCCAGATCCCCAGGTGTGGAGGGCCGCAACCACATTCTCCATTGTTTCAAGGTACAGAGGTAGAGATTGACCTCTGTGACCTCAAGGTGTGGTGGTACATGCCTTTAGTCCCAATGCCTGGGAGGCAGAGACAGGCAGATCTCTGTGAGTTCAAGGTGTTGTAGCACACGCCTTTAATTCCAGCGCAGGTGCTTGGTAACTTTCTACTGCTGCGTCCCTGCCTACTCCCGAGGCATCATCTGGGATAATGGGCAGCAGACCAATCCAAGAGTGACACTTCTGAAGTGAGGACTGTTTCCTTTATAAGGGCTGGGTTCCCCTCATTCTGGGTCTCCGCCATGTAAGCTTATGCTCTCTCTCTCTCTCAAGACGCATTAAAGCTTTTCTGCAGAAGGATCCTAAGTGTCCCACTTCATTCTTGCTGGCGAGCCGGTAGCGAGGGACACCCAGGAACTAGAGTTACAGACCACTGTAAACTGTCTTGTGGGTGCTGAACCTCAAGAGCAGCAAGTGCTTTTAACTGCCAAGTCACCTCTCTAGTCCCTATAATATTATTTTGAGATTGCATACATTATTTCATCTCCTATAAGACTAGTTCTATTCTGTCACTTATAAAATTTTGGGCTTCCATATCTTTGTATTTTAAAATAATAAAGCAGTAATAGTGCTGAACAATGATAGCTAGTATTTTTTGGATATTTGCTGTCTGTTAGCAGGCACACAGCCGTTTGGGTCCCACGTGCTTCTCCTTTCCCAGGGCTATCAGCACGTATTACTATTGTACAAGAGGTTGAATACTGGTCCAGTGTCATATTGCCTGTGTGCTAATGTGTGTTAAAGGATTCTGAATATCTGTGGCTGTTTTTGAAAACTGGGAAAGTTGGTTTGTATTTAATACTGAGCAACCAGAACATGGTAGGAAAGAGTTTAATTGTAAGCCTGGATTATTATACTGGACAACACTAAGTTGAAGTTTTAGTTTTGCCATAATCTAGTAAAAACAGGTGATAAATTGCAAGGCAGTCTGGTTAGTTTTAGACTAAACATTTTATGGCCTAGAAGTTGACCCGTAGGCAACAAGGGGTTGATGTACATTTAAAACACTTTAATCCCAGCCCTTGGAAGGCCACCCTGTTCTGCATAGTGAGATCTAAGATAGCCACAAACAGTGAGCCAGGTGACCATGGACTGAAGTCTGTAAAATTGTGAGTCAAAAGGAGTTTCCCTCCTTTTGATTTTTTTCCTCTCAGGTATTTGTCATAGCAATGGAAATACTGGGCTTTACACAGAGAATTGGTGCTGGAGCAGGGCCATTGCTGTGATGAAACCTGGCCATGTGGTTTGTAAGCCTTTGGAACTAGTTTATAGGAGGAATTTGGAAAACTGGACATATAAACTAGAAAAAAATCTTTAAATACTTTGTGTAGAGCTTAATGAGGATTGTGGTGGGTGGGAGCACAGAAGACTAGAAATGCCCAGTAGAGATTGTGCTCATGAGATTTCAGATGGGATCAAGGGTTCTATTGGGGATTAGATTAGAGTGCTGTTCCATTCATGATCTATTATGGCAAAGAAGTTGTCCATCTTGTGTCTGTGCTCTTAAGACTTTGTGGGAGCTGAGTTCAAAGGTTGAGTAGTCCGAAAGAATTTTATTTTTAATTAAAATATAATTTCTTTTTCTCCTCTTTTTTAACTTTTTTCATGTCCCTTAGCCCCCGCTTCCTCTCAAATTCATGTCCTGTTTTTCTTTAATTATCATTGTTATACACACACACACACACACACACACACACACACACACACAGAGAGAGAGAGAGAGAGAGAGAGAGAGAGAGAGAGAGAGAGAGAAACATAAATGCAATTTACTGAGTCTGTTTAGTGTTGCTTGTATTATATGATTCTAGGACTGACCACTTGTATTGGATAGTCAGTTAGGGGCCTCTCCCTGGGAAAGACTAATTCTTCCTCTCTCAGCAGTTGTAAATTGCTTGTAGTTCCTCTATGGGTTGGCCCTGTAAACTTCCCTCATTCATACTAGCATGTCAGCTGGTGCTGGAATTGTTCAGATAATGTTTAAGTAGCCATATTGTAGACATTTCAGTGGTATAGCTTCTCTGTCATAATTAGAAGACACAGTTTCACAGTAGATTTTTGTGGCCCTGTGGTTTTTTACAGTCTTTACAATCCCTTAGAAAATCAATTTGGTCTTTCACAGGGGTCTTGCTGTATAAAAAAGCCTTTTAGCCAGATTTACAATGAGCATTTAAAGAAAAAAAAACTGTCTAAAAAAGTCACATTTAAAGTTGGGACTAATAAGTGGATAATCATTAGAGATTAGCACCATTGTATGTACCAGGTCAATAAATAAGGTGTCTTGAGGGCAGCTCAGTGATTAGGAAAAACCTACCCATCCTACAATCAAGTTTATAACCTGGTGTTAATCCCAGCACTTGGGAGGCAGAGACAGGCCGATCTCTGTGAGTTTGAGGCCAGCCTGGTCTACAGAGTGAGTTCCAGAATAGTTGGAGCTATGTAGAGAGACCTTGTCTCAAAAAAAAAAGTATAAAAGTTTAAGGTCACTGAAAAGATGAATTAAAAGATTGACTTGCAGAGGTACCCTTTTGCAACATGCCCTTGTGCATGTTAGGCAAGAATTGATCTACCAAGCTGTAATATAGCCATGCTGTACCTGAATTCCTCCAGCCTTGTTCAGTTTTCCATATACTCATAGGCTAGCACAGCTTAACATACTTATGGGTGATTCTGTTGGAGGGGCTCAGAAGACTAGAATGACTATAGACACACAGAGAATAAATACTGTGCTTAGGGATGTTGAAATGGGAACTAGACTAGAGAACATTAAGTAGATTTTGTCTACACTGGGAACTGGCTATAGCTTAAACTACTGGCAGACCTTTCTATCCTCAGTCTGATGTTGTTTTTTTTGCAAGGCAGGTCATAGAGGCTTCTACTCAGATTTCAAAGGAGTGTTGGGGAGGCCAGATGATGTATGACAGTGGTAAGAGTACTTGGCTGTAGCCCTTGGGAGAGCTGTGATGGAATAGAGACCTTAAGAAGCTGAAGATGCTAGGAATGGAGACTGTCTGCCAAGGAAAGCTCTAGTCAGTGAGCAGGATCAGCCTGTAAGAGTCATGTGACTGCAGTGTGGCATACTGTAGGGGCTGGACTGCCCCAGCATTTTGGCACCCAGATCATGGCACTACATGTCTGGGATGCCAGCCATGGAGCTACAGGAACTTATAATTGCCATGCTGATTCCCATCTTACTTTGGTATCCTCCAACCTTTCCATGTGTTGTCTTTGGAATAGGAGTCTTTACTCTGCCTTGTACTTGTAAAACTTTTCTTTTTGGCCTTAGAGGGACTCACAGGTGAGAGTTTGCCTTGAGTCTGAGGAAACTTTGTACTTGTCTGTTGATCAATGCTGGAGCTGTCAAGAATTTGGGGAAATGAACTAAAGTATTTAGGGGGTACACATAGGATGGTTTTATGAAATGTGTATGGTCTTGTCACTTCCTTTGGAAATTAGGTTTGGTTTTAAGAGATGTGGCTTAAAGGTGTTTGGTGTTTGGGTGTCAAGTTGACAGAGGGTGGACTTGTGACAGTTAATCTAGGTTCTTGGACTGAGAAATACTGAGGATGTTTGTAAGGTACATTTCTGATGCACTTGTGAAGATATTGCTAGAGGCGATGGTGGGCAGCTGCTCTGAATGTTGTTATGTCATCCAATAGTCTGAGAACCCAGATGGAAAGACAAGAAGGAGGAGTAAGCACAGAACTGTTCTCTAAATGCTCTGCTCTGCTCTACTATCCTGTCTGCATCCTACAGCCATGGGATGGATTGACTATGAACTGAAACCTGAAACCCTAATAGAAAATAAATCTTTTTTTTTTTTTTTTTTTTTTGGGGTTTCTCGAGCCAGGTTTCTCTGGCTGTCTTGGAACTCACTTTGTAGACCAGGCTGGCCTCACAGAGATCCACCTGCCTTTGCCTTCCTGAGTGCTAGGATTAAAGGAGTGTACCACCACCACCCAGCTTAGAAATCTTTTATCCTTTTACCTTGTTCTGTCAGGCACTTGCCAGTGATGAAAGGTTAATAGCATACCAAGTCACTAT